GTGCCACAAATGTCTACCTTGTTTATTCTGGACCCTATTTTGAAATTGGCATCTTTTTTAGTTTGCGTGAAATTGGCCAAATTGCCAATTTCTGACCACCATATTGGGTAGTCCAAATTAGTAAATGGGAGGTTTCTTGTACTCAGCTGATAGATAAAATGGAGTTCTAAAGAAATAGCTATGAGTTTGGTCAACTGGAACAATGGAATTGGCTGAAAATAGGGCTCAAAGTCGGCAAAATCGCCGATACGCATATGTCGCCGAGACCGCTAACTTCGCGGGAGCATAATTCCATGAGTTTACGACCAAATTTTTAACTTTTGGTGTCATTACCATCGGGAAAAGATTCTCTATCATTTCATAAGAAAAAATAATTTTTTTTTTTTCAAAAATTGAGCGACATAGAATGACAGTTTCAGAGAGGGGCCTGAAACAGTCAAAGGGTTAAGTAGCATGTTTTAATACTGTTAATTTTTATATTTTGTGCAGATTGTGTTGAGAGACAGCTCAACTTCAAGGACACTCACTACAAGTGAATCAAGGACACTCACTAAAAGTGAATCAAGGACACTCACTACAAGTGAATCAAGGACACTCACTACAAGTGAATCAAGGGCACTCACTACAAGTGAATCAACTACACTCACTACAAGCGAATCAAGGGCACTTACTACAAGTGAATCAACTACACTCACTACAAGCAAATCAAGGACACTCACTACAAGTGAATCAAGGACACTCGCTACAAGTGAATCAAGGATACTCACTACAAGTGAAACAAGGACACTCACTACAAGTGAATCAAGGGCACTTACTACAAGTGAATCAACTACACTCACTACAAGTGAATCAAGAACACTCACAAGTGAATCAAGGACACTCACTACAAGTGAATCAAGGACACTCACTAAAAGTGAATCAAGGACACTCACTACAAGTGAATCAAGAACACTCACAAGTGAATCAAGGACACTCACTAAAAGTGAATCAAGGACACTTGCTACAAGTGAATCAAGGACACTCACTAAAAGTGAATCAAGGACACTCACTACAAGTGAATCAAGGGCACTTACTACAAGTGAATCAACTACACTCACTACAAGTGAATCAAGGACACTACAAGTGAATCAACTACACTCACTACAAGTGAATCAAGGACGCTCACTACAAGTGAATCAAGGACATTCACTAAAAGTGAATCAAGGACACTCACTAAAAGTGAATCAAGGACACTCGCTACAAGTGAATCAAGGACACTCACTAAAAGTGAATCAAGGACACTCACTAAAAGTGAATCAACTACACTCACTACAAGTGAATCAAGGACACTCACTACAAGTGAATCAACTACACTCACTACAAGTGAATCAAGGACACTCACTACAAGTGAATCAAGGGCACTTACTACAAGTGAATCAACTACACTCACTACAAGTGAATCAAGACACTCACTACAAGTTAATCAAGGACACTCACTACAAGTGAATCAAGGACACTCACTAAAAGTGAATCAAGGACACTCACTAAAAGTGAATCAAGGACACTCACTAAAAGTGAATCAAGGACACTCACTAAAAGTGAATCAAGGACACTCGCTACAAGTGAATCAAGGACACTCACTAAAAGTGAATCAACTACACTCACTACAAGTGAATCAAGGACACTCACTACAAGTGAATCAACTACACTCACTACAAGTGAATCAAGGACACTCACTACAAGTGAATCAAGGGCACTTACTACAAGTGAATCAACTACACTCACTACAAGTGAATCAAGGACACTCACTACAAGTGAATCAACTACTCACTACAAGTGAATCAAGGACACTCACTACAAGTGAATCAAGGACACTCACTACAAGTGAATCAAGGACACTCACTACAAGTGAATCAAGGACACTCACTAAAAGTGAATCAAGGACACTTGCTACAAGTGAATCAAGGACACTCACTAAAAGTGAATCAACTACACTCACTACAAGTGAATCAAGGACACTCACTACAAGTGAATCAACTACACTCACTACAAGTGAATCAAGGACACTCACTACAAGTGAATCAAGGACACTCACTACAAGTGAATCAAGGACACTCACTACAAGTGAATCAAGGACACTCACTACAAGTGAATCAAGGACACTCACTACAAGTGAATCAAGGACACTCACTACAAGTGAATCAAGGACACTCGCTGCAAGTGAATCAAGGACACTCACTACAAGTGAATCACGGACACTCACTACAAGTGACTCAACTACTCACTACAAGTGAATCAAGGACACTCACTACAAGTGAATTAAGGACACTCACTACAAGTGAATCAAGGACACTCACTACAAGTGAATCAAGGACACTACAAGTGAATCAAGGACACACTACAATTGAATAAAGGACACTCGCTACAAGTGAATCAAGGACACTCACTACAAGTGAATCAAGGACACTCACTACAAGTGACTCAACTACACTCACTACAAGTGAATCAAGGACACACTACAAGTTAATCAAGGACTCACTACAAGTGAATCAAGGACACTCACTACAAGTGAATCAAGGACACTCACTACAAGTGACTCAACTACACTCACTACAAGTGAATCAAGGACACTCGCTACAAGTGAATCAAGGACACTCACTACAAGTGAATCAACTACACTCACTACAAGTGAATCATGGACACTCACTACAAGTGAATCAAGGACACTACAAGTGAATCAAGGACACTCACTACAAGTGAATCAAGGACACTCACTACAAGTGAATCGAGGACACTCACTACAAGTGAATCAAGGACACTTGCTACAAGTGAATCAAGGACACTACAAGTGAATCAAGGACACTCACTACAAGTGAATCAAGGACTCACTACAAGTGAATCAAGGACACTCGCTACATGTGAATCAAGGGCACTTGCTTCAAGTAAATCAAGGACACTCGTTACCAATGAATCAAGGACACTCACTATAAGTGAAACAAGGACACTCACTACAAGTGAATCAAGGACACTCGCTACAAGTGAATCAAGGACACTTGCTACAAGTGAATCAAGGACACTCGCTACAAGTGAATCAAGGACAGTCACTACAAGTGAATCAAGGACACTCGCTACAAGTGAATCAAGGACACTCGATACAAGTGAATCAAGGATACTCACTACAAGTGAGTGGCCTGGTGGTTAACGCTCTCGCTTCACACGGTGAGGGCCTGGGTTCGATTCCCAGCCAGAGTAGAAACATTGGACGTGTTTCCTTCCACCTGTTGTCTATGTTCCCCATCAGTAAAATGGGTACCTGGGTGTTAGTCGACTGGTGTGGGTCGCATCCTGGGACACTGACCTAAGGAGGCCTGGTCACAGACCGGGCCGCGGGGGCGTTGACCCCCGGAACTCTCTCCAAATAAATAAACAAGTGAATCAAGGACACTCGCTACAAGTGAATCAAGGACACTCGATACAAGTGAATCAAGGATACTCACTACAAGTGAATCAAGGACACTCACTACAAGTGAATCAAGGACACTCACTACAAGTGAATCAAGGACACTCACTACAAGTGAATCAAGGACACTCACTACAAGTGAATCAAGGACACTTGCTACAAGTGAATCAAGGACACTCACTACAAGTGAATCAAGGACACTCACTACAAGTGAATCAAGGACACTCACTGCAAATGAATCAGGGACACTCACTACAAGTGAATCAAGGACACTCACTACAAGTGAATCAAGGACACTCACTACAAGTGAATCAAGGACACTCACTGCAAGTGAATCAGGGACACTTGCTACAAGTGAATCAAGGAAAATCTACTTGCTCCTACTAGACTGCTTTCTGTACTAAACTATTTGTTGTACTAAGCTACTTGATATACTAAGCTACTTTATTGAACTGCTTTACTAAACTACTTGCTGTACTAAACTCTAAATCATATTTATCCAGTTTCAACAAACTTCCAAATTAGTAATAGCTATAATATTCACAAAAAACACTATGCCTATATGGGTCATTTATCCGGCTTCAGCACACAAAACCTAACTGCTTACACACAGAATGCAACTCCAACAAAGACACTCCTTAATATATGATGCAAAAACCAGGTAAGTTTGCCAATGACTTGACAAAGAAAAATTAGGAATACAGTATTCAGTAACAAAGCTACATCAAACACAACTCAAGGGTGAAAATATTTTTTTGACAAACTGAAACCTTCTGTACTTAGGTTTCAGTATAAAATTTATCAACTCATTCTGATTTTAAATATAATTTACTTTCATTTTCGTGCCAAACTTTTTGCACTTGGCTATGGTACTTACAGCTCTAAGTAGCTATTAGTTCTATGTAATGCAGGTTTTTGCCTTGGGGTGCAGGTACAGGAAGAGGCACTTACAGAATGATGACATATGTATCTACTTACAACTGTAAGTAGGCCAAGTGTAAACATTTTGACACAAAATGTTGACATCTTTGAAGATAAGGATCTGTGGAATTTATACAAGTAAACAAAAGAGTATTATACAATTTTTCTATCAATAAACACCAGTGAATAAAGGTCAGATTAATAAAATTATAATAATATAATGCTTGCTCTGATACAATCCTATCATCTTTTAACCATGTCATTTCACTTAACTGTAGTCTAGGCCCTGTTTAGAAGAGCATTACATCATCAGTCTTCATTAGTTAATCTAGAATATAAATACTAAGTTTACTATACTGTCAAAATCCAATTAAATTACTGGCACTAACTGAAAGTCCAAAGATTCCTGAGAGGGTATCCATTCTTTCATGCACTAGACCATAGTGTGGTGCTAGTGTGGTCTGGTGTAGTACCTTTTATTAAGGTTTTCTACACAATACTGACATTAAATCTTGAAAACCCTTCAGTTTTCTTTACTTTTACACACTGTACATTAATGTGTTTTTCTGATTAAAATGATGACTTATTTTACAATCTTCCTATGCATAATTAATAGAAATGTGGGATAAAAGAAAGATACTAATATGTATCTTTATTTGATAATGTTTTGCACATGTGCAAGCTCTATTATGTTGCAACGAGGAAGATTCAACACAGACTTATAAACCCCCATCACAGTGGGTAAGGAGAGATGTTGGAAGGTTTGGTGGTAACCAATGAGGTCAGTGTGTGATGTCTTTAAATCAGGTATTGAGCCATGCAATTGAAGAGAGTTGCAATGCTGAAAGTATCCAGATTTTATTCACTGACATTCTGTGCTCGTATGATTACTGTACTACAGTTGATGTTGGGCATCTTGTATTTTCTCTTCAATTACCAACCTAGTTTCATTCCATGGCATGAGGTATGCACATTTGCTAGTGTTAACTTCATAAAATACACTTGTGTTCTTGAATTCTTATGTGATATCACAATGATTCACCCCAAAAAATACTTGTTACTCTGTGCTGGCACTCTGAAGGATGGTGGGATTACTGCAGTTTAAAGGGCCATTGGAAATGTAATATATGCACACTTCTGGCACGGCAGCTATAGAAACACACTATCACTTAGTGGTGAATGTGTTTCCTTCTTTGGGTCACCCTGCTTTGATAGGAAATGGCTGATAAAAAATAAAATAGAACATCCAAAGTAAACCTGAAGATAAAACTATTGCAAAAAAAGTTAGCACCACCTTATATCAAGATATCAATTAACACTAAGCTAACAATTAAGGATAAAGATAGGACAAGGAGGGAATGTTAAAAACAGCAGTAATATAGACAGATAATATCAAAGGTGCTTTCTGTATCCCATCAACTCCTATGTGACTCATTCTTATTAAATAAGGACTAACACTTGATCTAACAATGTCTGTCACATCTTACATTGCAACAACTCTCCTCACCTGCTGTGACATTGCGACAACTCTCCTCACCTGCTGTGACATTGCAACAACTCTCCTCACCTGCTGTGACATTGCAACAACTCTCCTCACCTGCTGTGCATTTATGGAACTTCAAAATATTGCCTTGAAAGTTTCCCATTTTAAACATTCATGGGTGGTTTGTCTTCTTTGCCATACTAACAATACTGTAGTTTGCTGGTGCTTTTCTTTTATTACAGTCATTATTTAATAACGTTTAAAAATGGAAGAAAAAACTATGGAGGACCCATTGAATACTGTGTGAGATCAAACAGTGAACTGAGTAATATTGTTACCTTTGGAAGCACTACAAAAAGGAAAAGGAAAGAGGATTCTCAAGAAGGAAGGTTCTTCTACTTGATAACATCATTTGCAGACTTTTTTTTTTCTTTCATCAAATGCACTTTGCCTTCCAATGAAAATGTTTCACAGTAAAACTTTCTTAAACCAAAGCATAAAGTATAGCACCCCTTTTTTCCTCTTCCTCTTTTGTTTTTATATTACATTCACATTATAGTATTTATAGTTATTTCAATTTCCTGAGGTAGACTAATACCTTTCTATTTTTGTCTTTATACAAGAAATTTGCTCCAGTTAGTGTGGAAGCTATAACAAAATTCAAATTTATTCAATAATTGTCATGAAAGTTAACAGATTACATGTAATATGGAATAGGAAAATTATTCAACGGCATTTCCTTAATTACCATAAGGAATATTATTTCATTATAATTAGTTTTTATACAATTTCATGATGCATTTATAGTTTTGTGCTCCTTTTTGTTTCTATACCCAAGACTAAAATGGAGGAATATGACAGACAAGCTTATCAAGAGTGCACCTGATCTAATATTAATAGTCAGGCACTATAAATATCCTCTTTTGCATTAGTGCAGCGAAGATGTTCAAGATGTGAAATTAATTTTATTTGATAAAAAGTTTTGTGTGATTTTATTTGCTTTGCTACTAACTTGCTAATTCTTCTCATCTTTCCTACTACAACTCTCCAAAGTACAGTATGTGTAGAGTTTTGCCTTAACTTTTTACCTTATAACAAGAAGTATATAAGCTTGAGTATGACTGCTCTATAATATTTATGACTAATGGAGAAAAGGAGTGAGTATGCTTTCATATACACAACACCAATATGCTAAATCCCACAACTTTCAGAGCAATGTTGGGTAACTGAAACAGCAAGAGTATCTACTCTCCAAAATTAAATGTAAATTTGGGGCAATTTGAACATCTAATAATAAAAACATATAATAATAATAATAAAATGTGTGGTTATATCATTCCTTAAATATAAATAAATCACAGTGATTAAGAGATAAAGTGGAATGAATGCAAGCCAAGTCAGAGATCACTTTGAGCGATATTCTCATGACTTTCATAATTTTTGGTGACTTCTTCATCCTTCCAGGTCTGGTAGTGTGGAACCCAAATTTCTGCAGCTCCTCTATAAAATGAAATAAAGAAATGTTATCATATGTACCAAAAACTATAGTTAATCACCAAGTCTGTTTAATTTAGGAACCACATGTTTCCAAAACATTAAATTACTAAGATAAATGAGCACATAATAGCACACTAACAGTAATAGTAGCTTCCGACATGATAATAATTACAGAACTGAAAAAAGAAAAGAAATTTTTGCCCAACTAAAAAAAAAACTTTAAAAACCCCGGTTTAAATTTTAAAAAGGGGTTTTTAAAAATAAAAAAATATTTCAAAATAAAATTTTAAAATTTTTTTAAAAAAATTTTTTTAAAAAAAACAAAAATAATTATTTTAAATGAAAAAATAATAAAAAAAAATAGTTTATCCGGGAAATTATTTTTAAACCCAAGAAATTTAATATTTACTTTTCATTTAAATTGGCCAAAACCCTTTCCCCCTTTTTTTTTAAAAAATTACTTTTATTTTTCTAAAAAATAAAAAAAAAATAATTAAAAACAAGAAAACGCTGGAATAATAAATTGGGAAAAGGGGTAAAAACTTGGAAGGTAAAAAACGGCCCCCAAAAATCACTCTTGGGGGTTTACCGGAACCGGGGGTTTTTGGGGTTTTTTAAAAATTTTTAAACAAGGGTTAGGGGGAAAAAAAAAAAAAATTTTTAAACCCAAAACCCAAAAGTTTATGCTTGAAAATTGAACACCACGGGGTTTTTAATACTTTTATTGAAAACAAAACCCCCGGGGAATACTTCCTTTATAAAGGGGGGAAAAAAAAGGGAAAAACCTAAAAACAAAAAAATATGAAAAAGGGGCAAACGGAAATTAACCCCTTTTTTTTCCTTTTTTATTTTTTTGACGAAAACATTTTTTTTTGAGTTTAAAGAAACCCAAAAACCCCTGGAAAAAAATTTTACCAAAAACAAAAGACAACCCCGTAGTATGGAAAAAACCGGGGGTTTCCTGGGTTTTTTTAACGCAAAAAATTTTAAATGTAATTGGTTTTAACCGAAAAAACCCAATTTTAGTCTGTAAAGAAAAAAAACCCCCCCCCCAAAATTGGGGTTGGGAAAACCCCCCTTTTTTTTTTCCAACGGGGAAAAATTGGACAGGACACGGGTTTTTCCCCCATCTTGAAAGTAGAAAACCGGGAGCCATTCCGGGATTTGGTCGCCCAAAAATAACCTTTTTTTAAATACCCCACAAAAAAGGAAAAAAGAGAAAAATTTAAAAAACCACAAAAAAGGGGGCCCCCTTTTAGTTTTTAAAACCCCCCAAAAAAGGGGGGAAAACTCCCTTTTTAAATTAGGAGCGAACACCCCGGAGCTCCCCGGGGGAGGGGAGCAGCCCCCGGAGTTTTACCAGTGGGGGAAGGTCCCCTCACGTGCTCCAGCGAAATATTTCATAATATTCCATTTATTTTAGTGCTTGCAAGTACTAGTAATGGGCTAGTAACCCCTTCTCCTGTATACAATTACTAAAAAAGAGAAGAAGAAAAACTTTATAAAACTGGGTTGCTTAAATGTGCGTGGATGTAGTGCGGATGACAAGAAACAGATGATTGCTGATGTTATGAATGAAAAGAAGTTGGATGTCCTGGCCCTAAGCGAAACAAAGCTGAAGGGGGTAGGAGAGTTTCAGTGGGGGGAAATAAATGGGATTAAATCTGGAGTATCTGAGAGAGTTAGAGCAAAGGAAGGGGTAGCAGTAATGTTAAATGATCAGTTATGGAAGGAGAAAAGAGAATATGAATGTGTAAATTCAAGAATTATGTGGATTAAAGTAAAGGTTGGATGCGAGAAGTGGGTCATAATAAGCGTGTATGCACCTGGAGAAGAGAGGAATGCAGAGGAGAGAGAGAGATTTTGGGAGATGTTAAGTGAATGTATAGGAGCCTTTGAACCAAGTGAGAGAGTAATTGTGGTAGGGGACTTGAATGCTAAAGTGGGAGAAACTTTTAGAGAGGGTGTGGTAGGTAAGTTTGGGGTGCCAGTGTAAATGATAATGGGAGCCCTTTGATTGAACTTTGTATAGAAAGGGGTTTAGTTTAGGTAATACATATTTTAAGAAAAAGAGGATAAAATAAGTATACACGATATGATGTAGGGCGAAATGACAGTAGTTTTTTGGGATTATGTATTGGTAGATAAAAGACTGTTGAGTAGACTTCAGGATGTACATGTTTATAGAGGGGCCACAGATATATCAGATCACTTTCTAGTTGTAGCTACACTGAGAGTAAAAGGTAGATGGGATACAAGGAGAATAGAAGCATCAGGAAGAGAGAGGTGAAGGTTTTATAAACTAAAAGAGGAGGCCGTTAGGGTAAGATATAAACAGCTATTGAGGATAGATGGGCTAATGAAGCATAGGCAATGGGGTCGAAGAGGTATGGGGTAGGTTTAAAATGTAAATGTTAGAGTGTTCAGCAGAAGTTTGTGGTTACAGGAAAGTGGGTGCAGGAGGGAAGAGGAGCGATTGGTGGAATGATGATGTAAAGAGAGTAGTAAGGGAGAAAAAAGTTAGCATATGAGAAGTTTTTACAAAGTAGAAGTGATGCAAGGAGGGAAGAGTATATGGAGAAAAAGAGAGAAGTTAAGAGAGTGGTTGAAGCAATGTAAAAAGAGAGCAAATGAGAGAGTGGGTGAGATGTTATCAACAAATTTTGTTGAAAAATAAGAAAAAGTTTTGGAGTGAGATTAACAAGTTAAGAAAGCCTAGAGAACAAATGGATTTGTCAGTTAAAAATAGGAGAGGAGAGTTATTAAATGGAGAGTTAGAGGTATTGGGAAGATGGAGGGAATATTTTGAGGAATTGTTAAATGTTGATGAAGATAGGGAAGCGTGATTTCGTGTATAGGGCAAGGAGGAATAACATCTTGTAGGAGTGAGGAAGAGCCAGTTGTGAGTGTGGGGAAGTTCGTGAGGCAGTAGGTAAAATGAAAGGGGGCAAGGCAGCCGGAATTGATGGGATAAAGATAGAAATGTTAAAAGCAGGTGGGGATATAGTTTTGGAGTGGTTGGTGCAATTATTTAATAAATGTATGGAAGAGGGTAAGGTACCTAGGGATTGGCAGAGAGCATGCATAGTTCCTTTGTATAAAGGCAAAGGGATAAAAGAGAGTGCAAAAATTATAGGGGATAAGTCTGTTGAGTGTACCTGGTAAAGTGTATGGTAGAGTTATAATTGAAAGAATTAAGAGTAAGACGGAGAATAGGATAGCAGATGAACAAGGAGGCTTTAGGAAAGGTAGGGGGTGTGTGGACCAGGTGTTTACAGTGAAACATATAAGTGAACAGTATTTAGATAAGGCTAAAGAGGTCTTTGTGGCATTTATGGATTTGGAAAAGGCGTATGACAGGGTGGATAGGGGGCAATGTGGCAGATGTTGCAAGTGTATGGTGTAGGAGGTAGGTTACTGAAAGCAGTGAAGAGTTTTTACGAGGATAGTGAGGCTCAAGTTAGAGTATGTAGGAAAGAGGGAAATTTTTTCCCAGTAAAAGTAGGCCTTAGACAAGGATGTGTGATGTCACCGTGGTTGTTTAAAATATTTATAGATGGGGTTGTAAGAGAAGTAAATGCGAGGGTCTTGGCAAGAGGCGTGGAGTTAAAAGATAAAGAATCACACACAAAGTGGGAGTTGTCACAGCTGCTCTTTGCTGATGACACTGTGCTCTTGGGAGATTCTGAAGAGAAGTTGCAGAGATTGGTGGATGAATTTGGTAGGGTGTGCAAAAGAAGAAAATTAAAGGTGAATACAGGAAAGAGTAAGGTTATGAGGATAACAAAAAGATTAGGTGATGAAAGATTGAATATCAGATTGGAGGGAGAGAGTATGGAGGAGGTGAACGTATTCAGATATTTGGGAGTGGACGTGTCAGCGGATGGGTCTATGAAAGATGAGGTGAATCATAGAATTGATGAGGGAAAAAGAGTGAGTGGTGCACTTAGGAGTCTGTGGAGACAAAGAACTTTGTCCTTGGAGGCAAAGAGGGGAATGTATGAGAGTATAGTTTTACCAACGCTCTTATATGGGTGTGAAGCGTGGGTGATGAATGTTGCAGCGAGGAGAAGGCTGGAGGCAGTGGAGATGTCGTGTCTGAGGGCAATGTGTGGTGTGAATATAATGCAGAGAATTCGTAGTTTGGAAGTTAGGAGGAGGTGTGGGATTACCAAAACTGTTGTCCAGAGGGCTGAGGAAGGGTTGTTGAGGTGGTTCGGACATGTAGAGAGAATGGAGCGAAACAGAATGACTTCAAGAGTGTATCAGTCTGTAGTGGAAGGAAGGCGGGGTAGGGGTCGGCCTAGGAAGGGTTGGAGGGAGGGGGTAAAGGAGGTTTTGTGTGCGAGGGCTTGGACTTCCAGCAGGCATGTGTGAGCGTGTTTGATAGGAGTGAATGGAGACAAATGGTTTTTAATACTTGACGTGCTGTTGGAGTGTGAGCAAAGTAACATTTATGAAGGGATTCAGGGAAACCGGCAGGCCGGACTTGAGTCCTGGAGATGGGAAGTACAGTGCCTGCACTCTGAAGGAGGGGTGTTAATGTTGCAGTTTAAAAACTGTAGTGTAAAGCACCCTTCTGGCAAGACAGTGATGGAGTGAATGATGGTGAAAGTTTTTCTTTTTCGGGCCACCCTGCCTTGGTGGGAATCGGCCAGTGTGATAATAAAAAAAAAAAAAAAATAAGTACTAAATAAGCTACCATGGCTCCAAAGAAAGCTCCTAGTGCCAAGCCTGTGGTAAAGAAGGTGAGAAATACGATTGAATTTAAGAAAACCATCATTGAACAATATGAAAGTGGCACAAGTGTGGCCGAACTGTCCAGGATGTATAAGAAACCCTACACAACCTTATGTTCCATAGTGGCCAAGAAAAAGGAAATCAAGGATGCTGTTGTTGCAAAGGGAGTAACTATGCTGACAAAAATGAAATCACCAGTACTCGAAGAGGTTGAGAAGTTATTATTGGTGTGGATAAATGAGAAACAATTAGCAGGAGATACTCTTATGACTTCGTTTATTTGTGAAAAGGCTAGGCAGTTGCATGAAGGTTTGGTAAAGAAATTGCCTGCAAATAGTGATGATGTGAGTAAATTTA